TGTGTGTCTGTAGTTTTTATTCATTTATTTCAGTTTTAATTTTATTTATTAGTATGTCAAATGAAATTAAAATGAGAATTGTTCCCTTGGTAGCTAGCTGAATTTTTCTTTTTAGTTAATGTTAAATTTGTTTCAAGTTATAAATAAATGGTTATTTATGGTATTAATTTTAGTTACAGTTTTAGTTAACCATATTAACTTGAAACAGACTAATAATTAATTAAGCACAGCTAGTAAGGAAACTAGAACACAAACACAATGAAAATACAATTTTAAACCATTAAGTTAGCTTAGAATGTACTACCAAATGTGTAAGCTTGCGCGAATTTGATTAGTAACTTTGATATTTGCTTCTCTCTCAGTGCGCAAACGTCGGGGGGCTTTTAAGCACTCTGATGCAGGAGTGAGCAGAGACTCAGGACGACCTGTGAAGACGGGCAGTGCTCAGTTTGTCAGGGAGCTACGCAGCCGCACTTTTCCCAGGTATGGTCACAGGACGATTATTTATTGCCAGGTCAGAATTAGGCCACTAGGTGACCTTACTTTCTTAACCCAGATTAATTTAGCTCTGATCAGACTTTAAGCCGTGATTCATAGCATTATGCTGGGGCGAGCAATCTGTGGTGTTATTGGATTTTTAAAAGTTGTTTGAAAGATGATGAGTATGCTGGAAAACGTATTTGACATTTTATGTTTGGGTTTAGTGCTGATGAAGTCCTGCTGAAGCCGACTGGGACCCAGCTCACGGTTGAGTTTCTAGAGGAGCGCTCCTTCAGCGTCCCAGTCCTGGTCCTCAGGAAAGATGGTCTGGGCATGAATTTGCCCCCGTCGTCTTTCTCTGTATCGGATGTAGAGCATTATATTGGTAAATAGCTCTAATCACATCTGCATTGCCATTCTATGCTACTTTTTCATGTTTGTGAAAAGTCATTTTTAGATGGGAATGTAATGTTTTTTTTATTGCTTCATAGGCGCTGACAAGGAAATTGATGTGATTGATGTCAACCGCCAATCAGACCTGAAGATGAAACTGGGAGAGTTTGTTGAGTACTACAACAGCCCAAACAGAGACCGAGTGCTCAATGTGATCAGCTTAGAGTTCTCAGACACCAGGTACTTTTTAGGGATGTGCAAATTTAAATCCACGAATGTCCATCTGAATGTGTACGGCTGTAGCAGCGGTGCTTTGAACGCATCATGAAATGGAAATGTATGCTTTATTGATCTTATTGTGATCGAATCATCCGTAAACTCAGCCCCTTTCTTACAATCAACCACAAGCTAGAGTTCAGATCTGCTTCCTTCGATGTCCAATCAACAACCAATCGATTGATCCAAGTATTTTTTTCTTCTTGATAACTGTCACTATTTCTGTTACATCACAACTTCAAAGGGGTTCAAAGATGCAACTTTTCTAACAGGATTTAACCTTGCAAACTGTCCTATAATCTTTGTCCCCTTTTGTAGGTTGTCAAATCTAGTGGAGACACCAAAGATCGTGAGGAAGCTGTCATGGGTGGAGAACCTCTGGCCTGAGGAGTCTATTTTTGAGAGGCCTAATGTGCAGAAATACTGCCTGATGGGAGTGAAGGACAGTTACACAGACTTTCACATCGACTTTGGTGGAACCTCTGTGTGGTACCATGTACTCCGGGTTAGTTGTTTTCTATAAGTCATATTTAGTGCAAAGTAGCGGAGAAAGCAGGGAAGGTCTATGTATTTCATTACTTCAGAAAGCATCATGCTTTGTCCTCAAGACAAAAGCGTTCTTATGTATTTCTTTTTATACATGTCAGGGTGAGAAGATCTTTTACCTCATTCGTCCCACTGCTGCTAACCTGTCGCTTTTTGAGCGCTGGAGTTCATCCTCCAATCAGAATGAGCTGTTTTTTGGGGACCAGGTAGACATGTGCTACAAATGTTCACTAAAGCAAGGAAACACCCTCTTCATCCCAACAGGTACTGTCTCTGTTTCTGCCAGATTTATTTAAAAAATAACTTTGTTTGCATATCCCACGTGACTGAGAAATTTCAATTAGATTTATAATGGTGATTCTTTGTGTGATAATTGTCTGCTTCAGGATGGATTCATGCTGTTTTGACCCCTGTGGACTGTTTGGCATTTGGAGGAAATTTTCTACACAGCCTCAACATTGACATGCAACTTCGGTGAGATGATGCTTCTATTTGTCTCCTTACTCTAAGTAGTAATGTACTGGGCTTTTTCATTGGTCATCCCTTTCTTTTTTTTCTGTCAGAGCGTATGAAATAGAAAAGCGACTGAGCACAGCAGAATTGTTCAGGTTTCCAAACTTTGAGACCGTGTGCTGGTATGTTGGCAAGCATCTGCTGGACACCTTCAGAGGTGAGGTTTCTCCTCAAAGCAAATGGTTGTTTTTACTGCTTAGTTTTGTTTTAATACAACATTCTTTTATGTAACTTCAATTTTTTAAATCCGCTTTAGGTCTAAGAGAGAATCGACGGCATCCTGCCACGTACTTGGTCCACGGAGCTAAAGCTCTCAATAATGCTTTCCGCAGCTGGACACGGAAGGAAGTAAGTTTAATTATGTTACATGCAGAACTGGGTAATTAATTGGCTGTATATGTTATATACAAATGATACATTCAGAAAACATTCAGTTCATTTTCATTTCCTTGTTTCACTTAGTTGATTCAAAACTCTAGTTCAATAATTAATTTGCATCATCACTGGAAAATGTTCACTAAATAACTTAAGTGAATACATGTTGGTAAGTATTGCTAATATTTGGATCATATAAATAATAATAATATATATTGTGTTCATTTAGTGAAAAAGCAACTGGAAAACCAGATTTTATTGTATTTTACTTGTAATTTTTAGTACATTTGTTACAGTGTAATTGGTTTGAATGAAATGTTTTTACCATTATTGGAAAAAACACCCTTTTAAATATTAGATTTATACAGAATTTTGTCAAAAGGCTAAAAAGAAGAATTTTAGATATGTCTGTGATATGTCATCTGTCTCAAATTATGTGCTAAATGTTTCAAATATTTGTTTGTCTTCTCATTGTTTTCTACCATCATAAATCACTTAATAGCAGTTATGTGTGATGATACAAAGTTTATATTGGTTGTTTTTGTGATATTTTATTTTTTCAGTCCCTGGCTGAACATGAACATGAGATACCAGAGACTATAAAGACCCAGCAGTTAGTGAAGGATCTGGCAAAGGAGATACGCCTGGTTGAGGTGAGAGTAGCTCTGACTTAAATTTTCAAGGAAAAACTAGTGGCTTTGGTCTTAGTCGATTTTTGTGTCCTTTTTTGCAGGATATCTTCCAGCAGAACATCGGCAGGAGTGGGACACCATTTGGTGGCTCTCAGGGTCTTCCCTCTCCACACCCCAAAGCTCCATTAAACACAGCCCTCACTTTTGGCCAGCACCCTGGTAAAAAGAGAGGCCCCAAGTCGAAGGATGGATTTGGAGGAGGGGCTGTCAGCCTTCCAGGAGCAAAGAAAAAGAGCCAAAAAGGCAAAGAGATAAAAACAGAAGCCGGAGAGCTGGACCTGCTGGAGATTCATACTAAACACACGCTCAAGAAGTTCCAGCCAGGGTGTAAAGTAAAAAAGAGCAAGGTAGAATTTAGAATACTTTAATCAATCAATATTATGTTTATAAAATGACCATTCAAAAGGTTGGGGTTAGTAAGAATTTTTTTGTTTTAAGAAAGTATTACTTTTAATCAGCATTAAGAAAGTATTACTTTTAATCAGCAAGAATGGATTCAATTGATCAAAATTGACAGTAAAGACATTTAATGTTACAAAAGACTGATAAATCAACTGTCTAGTCGTCAAGCAGCACAGCTTTTTTCAACATTGAGAATAAAAGGAAATAATCGTGTGACAATGAAGACTGGAGTAATGGCTGCTGAAAATTCATCTTTGCCATCACAGGAATAAACTAAAAAATAAATGAAATTAAAATAGAAACCAGTTGTATTTTAACATTGTAATAATAATATTATTGTTTTCATTGTTATTTTGATTATGTAAATACAGCCGATCCCAAGTTTTTGAACAGTATTGTACATATTATAGTTATGATTGATTATTATTATATATTCTCTGCCTGTTATATTATTACTTTTCACCTCAAGTAAATTTGTTTTAAAAATGTTAAATTAAATTTAAAAAAAGACTATTTTTTCCCCTGTTTAAAAAAAATACTGATTAAGAAAAATGATTTTTATTATGGAACTAAAGCTGAAAAACTAGTACTTTTTTCCTAATATCATCATTGTAAAGAACATTATTTGGCTTTTCAGCTTGAGCTGCCTGATGACAGTCTAGATGATTTTGAAGAGAAGATCAACAAGAGCAAGCTTAAGCTTGTGCTGACTAATGGAAAGATACAAAGGTAAAACAGTTCTTCACTCATTTCCCTCTTGTCAGGGATTTTCAGTGTTACGCATTGGCACCTTTATTTTTAATACCTCCTCTTCTTCCTCTCTTAGGAAGAAGGGTCGTGCTGGCAGTGCAAATGGAGCCGGGAGTTCACTTCAACAGTTCCAGCCCCACATGGCTACTTTGTCTGACTTTGATTCAGAAGACGAGCTTCAGATTGATGAAACCCCTCCACCTCGCCGCAGACCGTCTCTACCTAGCAAGAAGAAATTAGCTGGTAAAAGATTTCTCACATTTATTGATCATGCTTGCATGATTTCATTGTTTATGCATCATTTACTCATATTTATATCATCCCAAACTAGGGCTGCACGATAAATCGCATGCGATATTTAACGCGCATCTTGTCAGTAAAGCCGGTTCTGTAATCAATAGTAAATCTCCATCACCTGTGCATTAAATATCACATGCGATTTATCGTGCAGCCCTATCCCAAACCTATAAGACTTACTTTCTTAAGGACAATATTTAAATTTAATAACATCTTAGTATGAACTAATAGTTGGCTCAATGGTGTCTTTAAGGTCTACCGAGGAAACTACCTCGGGCCAAACCATGCAGTGACCCCCACAGAATCCGTGAGCCAGGAGAAGTGGACTTTGATATTGAGGTATGCAAGTCTATATTAGGCAGCTTCAGATTCCTCTCTAGGTGTCTGGTTGTCACCAGTTTTCTATCTTGTTGTTAAATAGGAGGATTACACCACAGATGAGGAGATGCTTACAGTGCAGGGTGTAAAAGGCGGAGCAGGTGGGATTTTAGACTTGCTCAAGGCAAGCAAACAGGTGGCGGGTCTCGATTCTGCACTGAGGTACTTAACACGCACATTTTTTTATACTACATGCTGATAATTATTAGCCTTTATCTCAGTGAAATATGCAGTTATGTACTTGCTGTTATACTCAATTCTATTGATTTTTCCCTTATCAAGTGAGGAAGCACCAGCCTCCCCCAGCACGTGTGATGCTATCCAGGGCATGCTGTCGATGGCCAACCCTCCATCTTCCTCATCCTCTTCCTCCTCCTCCTCTCCTCTGTCCATATCTGGAGGAGGTGAGAGGCTGGGGCTTATGAAGGAGAAAGGATGGAGAGCTGAGAGGATAAGTGGAGTCAAGAAGAGCGAGAAGAAGACCACATTTCAGAGGCCAGGAAAACGGCCCGTTAAACGTCCTGCACGGCACCTCAGTGATGAAGAAAGCTTGGATGAACAGGAGACCCTGGGTACCTGTTTTAAAGACTCTGATTATGGTGAGTTCACAGATTCATCAACATTTACACCAGGGTTGCAAACATACACAGCAGAGGAAATACTGCGATCCTATGTGATTCTGTTTAAAGGAGAATTTCCACCTTCTTCTACAGTGTATCCATCACTAGAATCTGACGAGGAGGATCACATAAGCAAGTCTAAAATGAAAAGAAAGCGAAACTGGGATGATACACCCTGGAGTCCTAAAGGTAACTGTGTTTTTGATTTATGATTTTTTAGCATTTAATTTCGAAACAGTTCTAAACATAATTTCTTCACACGTCCTCAGCCCGCGTGACCCCTACACTGCCCAAGCAGGAGCGACCAGTGAGAGAGGGTGCAAGGGTGGCATCTGTAGAAACGGGGCTTGCAGCTGCTGCCGCCAAACTGGCACAACAGGTGAGCTTCTGTCCAGAACTTCTATAGATGTGGACTATTTCATACCATTACTTTGTGTGTGCACCTTTAAAAGTGTTTGTTTTATTTTTTTTCAAAATGTCCTTTGAATGTAGTCAATATTTGTTCATGTCATATTAATTTTAGTAAATTTTACTAAAATGGCATGTAATTTTAGTCTTTGAAAAAGAACATTTTAGTTGACAAGGAAATGTAAAATTAAACCAAATATTAACTTTTTAAATATATGACATTATATATATTAATTGAGGAATAAAAACATGTATAAACATATGATCTCTTGAAATAAAATTGTTTTAGTTATTTGCTGTCCATGTTTTATACGTTTTAGTTCGTTCTTGGAGAAAAAGTACTGTTGCATGTTTTAACTATAATTGGATTTTTAAAGCATCCAATTACCATATTTTTTTCTAAAAAAAAAAATTATACAAAAACATTGCTATTAAACACACTATGGATCAAATTTTGTAGTCTGTAAGATTTTTTTAATGTTTCTGAAGGAAGTCTCTTGTGCTCAAAAATGCAGCATTTATTTAAAAATACAGTAAAAATAGTAATATTCTGTAATATTACTACAATTTAAAATAGCTGTGCTGCATACCATTTCTGTGGAATCCTAAACATTTTGTATATAAACATTAATAATATTTTTGTTGTATTTTTTCATCAATGCTATAATTTAATATACTTAAAATTATTTGATTTTTGTCATTATGCTATTTTCTTTCTATTTTGGTCTTGTCTTTATCATTGACAATCAAAAAAACTCTTTTTGTCAGTATTTTTATTGAAAAGATTAACACTGAGCTAAACATCTTGTTACTTTAATATCAGGAACAGCAGAAAACCATAACCAAGAGAAAATACACCAAGAAGAAGGTCCCTCAAGAGAAAGTACATTCTGCAGCTGCCCAACTCCAGCGCCAGCCGGACTCTGCGCCCGTGTCTCCTCCTCTACCCTCTGAGCCTCCTGTGGACTGCATAGTTGAGGAGAGGAGAGTGGAGGTGTACTCTGCCAGCCTGCTGGACCACGAGTACACAGCAGGACCTGGTCCGTTCAGCCCAGGGGGCCCAAGAGGAAGTGGTGCCATGGCCCCTGGCGTGTTCCTGACTTCAAGACGCCCCTCACTCTCTCCCCAAAACAGCAGCAGCTACTCTCCCTCTGCCCCCTCACCCGGAGGGCTGGCTACTTCAGCGTCAGCAGTAGCATGTCAAGGTAACTGGAATTACTGTACGTTATCTATTACAGGTTAAGTGTTCGGAATCACGCTGCATTTTTTCACTCTTCTTTCTCACAGGAAAACGTCCAAAGAAAGGACTTGCTACGGCTAAACAGAGACTGGGAAAGATTCTGAAAATACATCGAAACGGCAAGCTTCTCCTGTAGTTTGATAGTATGGAGAGGAGACTGCAGGGAACAATAGAATAAGAAAACGAATAAGGATGAGAGAGGACCTGAGTGATTTTGGTGTTAATTTATGTGACTGTTTTATGGTTAATGTTCTGCTAGCCTGGTTTTTATTTGCATCATCGGGACGAAAAGTGAAAAGAATGGCAACTTGCTGTGATAAATTCAATTGAAATCCATTTAGCATGGTGTTTTAGAATAGAAATACTATTTGAAAAACAAATAGAGCTAAACAGACGGATATGTTGAGTGTTGAATGGAGTGATGACTGTATTGCTAATTGTTTTTCCATCATTTTCAGTGCTCCACCTCTGAAAACAAACTGCGTACATGTACACTCCCCTTAAACCCTGTTTGTTTCATAGTTGAGTTTGGTTTAACGTATATTTCTAAAAAAAAAAAAGAAAAAAAAAGCTGAATGCTGAGGAGCACTTGATGTTAGATCACATTGCCTAAAGAATTGCCATTGCAAACAAAAAGATTACATTGTTCAGAAGGTTTATTTGTAAAACTGACTTCCCAAATAATAGGATTGAGGTCGTTGTTTGGCCTGAATTGTCCCATGGATGAGAGGAGATCCAATTCTTTAGTCATTACCTCAGCAATTTGTAAATGTCACACTTTCTCATGGCTATGGTCCAATCTCCTCCTGAAGTCATGCATATTATTAGTTTACATGTTTCATTTAGTATCTGTTCATACCAAATTATTTTATACCATAGAAGGCAATTTGATACACAATTGACTAATTGCTATAGATGAAGTCCTGTAGTAATGTCTCTTTGCTTGTTGAAATGTTTTTACAGTAGTGTACTAACACATTTTTATCAACAAATGTATTTTAGATGTGTATATACTTTTAAGTTCGTCTTGTTTTATTTGTTTTCCACTTGGCATGGGCAGCATAATATCCTGCCACCATTTGGCCAGGGTTGTCTTTCCCATCTATAGTTCAGCTCCATGTTGTAGAGGTTGAGTTCAGTGGTGGGCACATTTTAGTAATTGTAAAGAACACAGAAATGGACTTGGAGCAGTTTGAGATCATATGGGTGGTTCTGTAGGCTCAGTGTACATATTTGGTGTTTTATTATTTTTTCTTTAGAACGAAATTGCATTGGAATCTTTCTTGAAACACCTTGTACAAAAATACATGTTTTGGGTAACAGTAACAGCATAAGAGTTGTTTAGTCGGTTTTATTTGTATAGGATAATTATGCTGTTATTTTTCATTGAAGCTTATGATATTAGCAATGTGATGAAGTTAATGTATTCTATTGCTATTTCAATGTTATTGTTTATTTTATTTTCCCCCCGCTTATCAATAATATTAAGTTTAACGTCAATATACTTTAGTTTCGCTTATTTTATATATATATATATAAAATACTCCATTCTAGAAGAGTTAAATGTAACGTTTTCTTGTAATTTTATGTAATGGCAACAATATTTTTTTCATTTTCTCCTTTGACCATTATGTCTATAATCAGCACCAAAAATATTGATAAATCAGTGGGCCAGTGCAAATATTATTTTACTTTTTTGTTTTTTCCTAAAAATGTCACAGATTGTCACCCTGCCGAACTGTCATCATGCCATCCACATGTAATTAGAAACTTGTTTTGAGGTTTGTAGAAATTTGTTTTTGAACGAAAAATAACGGAAGACAGTTGTTGGAATATTCTGGTAAAACTATTATTTTTAGACATTGTTTTCAGATGACTCTGAGATTTAAAAGGATATTTCTGTAATATTTTGAGTTTTTTGTACATTTATTTGATTTGTGATCATCTTCACATCGTCTCTTAATGTTGCTACTTCCACTCATATTTTACTAAACATCTGTGCCTTCAGTGAAGTCCCAAACATAGCAACCTCTCTTACTGAAACTGTGCATCTCTGCACATCTTTTGATACTAGATACTTTAGTTTAATGGCAACACTTGTCTACCGAGACAGCTATTCAGGATTTCTGGAAATTGACAGTGAAAAATGGGAATGATGTGAAGCAAGATGTGCAACAAAGAAAGTGTTCAAAAACCTCAAAATATGTAAAAACTGACTTTTAAATATGTTCTTATTAAAACTTACATTTACTTAAGTTATTCTCCTCTTTATCACCTGAAGTTAATTGTGTGCATTTTAGGATTTATTTATCTTTTAACCATTTTCTTGTCTGTTCAAGTTTATTTTGAATTAATGTTGATCACACAGTTCCTCTCAGGGTTTATGTTGTATCTAATATCATTTTGATAGAATCGTTTAAAAAGAGCAACAGTAGTGTTAGGAGTTCACATTCAGCACCACTTAAAAACCAAGTCAAATTTGAACCCATTTAATATTTATAATTGGACGTTGTCTTTTGCTATTGTCACCACCTTTGGGCTTTGAAACGGCTTGAGCAGATTTTTCCAAATGACCTCTATTAAAAGATATTTTTAAAAATCGTTTGCATTTTTGTCATTATAAGCCTATTTTCCTCTGCAAGTGTCATGTGGTCTCTCACGTGCTTACTGGGTCAACTCCACATTTACCCGCGAACAAGCTTCTTTGTCTCTTTCAAGACGTTAAAAAAGAATGAACCCATGAAAATGGAATGAACGGCACAAACGGAATTAGTCACGTGATTTAAAACCGCATCTCTGTTGCTATAGTAGAGTCAATGGCGGTCAGCGATTGGCTGAGGGCACGTCTCCGTCAGCCAGTCAAAATGCGCGCTTTTTACAAATTACTCCGGAAGTCAGCAGGCCAGGCTAGTAGTTGATTTCTAGAGCTTGGGCCAGGGGAGAGTTGCTTGGTCTGGAAAGTACTGTAGCTTAAAAACAACACAAAAAGCTACAGTTTTTGGATACTGTCTAAGCCCAGGCCTTGGTACGTATGTGTGGGTTAGTACAAATATATATCTGCCGTCTTGTTCACTTTATACGTAACTTTATGCATAACAACACGGAGTACTCCGAGTTTGCGTATTTGCAGTTTACTGACGATCTACACTGTTATGGTTTTATAGTAGTAACGTTATAGTTTTTAATGATTGAGCCTACATTTCAACGTTTTGAGACCACTCAAGTGCCGTCTTGTTTATAGGCACTGAACCCCTCTCGAGATGGCGTCCTCTAACCCTCTGAGACCCCAGAACAGAAGTCAGCAGGATCAAGCAGGGTGAGTGAATTGATCATTAATATTTATATCAGCCTTCTCCTCCACAAGTAACATTGTCTCAGTCTCTCCTCCTTAAATGATTCAAGTTATGCATTTGACAGGAGCTATTCAGAATGTTAATTTTGCTTTGAGCAATTTTAGGTACCCCTCACTACACCTGTCAAGAAATGTACATTTCACTCAAAACTAAAGAAATATGTAAAATAAAAAAATAAATAATGCAAATTAGAACAAAACATGATTTGTTACATTGTTTTCTTAACAGTTAAACACATTTTAGTGTGTTTTCAAAATTGTAATGAATCTTGTATTATTTTTCTCGTAGCTAAACATTTCATTAATCATTTGTTTTGCTATCAAAAATGTTTCATTTAGGAAAAAAAGTCAAGGTATGTCCATGCCACAAAAAATAAATGAATAAAATAGTGACAAATATTAAAAAATATCAGAGTTATTCAGAGTTATGCTTTTTCAGGACAATTAAACACATTTTATCCTCTAATTTGCATTACTGTAGTGGATCTGATATCGTCTTGCTCCGTTTTTGAATAATTCATTAATCTTTTTTTTTTTATTAAAGCCAATAATTAGTTTAATGACTGAATAGTTCATGTAAGCATCAAAACTGGATAATCGTACAGTGATGCTGTGGTGCTGATTTCTGATCCATTATTTTCAATGCCATTAGGATCTGGAAGAATCAGGAGTTGAAGACAAAAAGTGCTTCCTCTAAAAGAGGATCTGAAAATTTGGACCCCAATGCTTCTGGTGAAACTGGAAAAGGAGTCGGTAAACTCAAAGGCATCAGCAGGCTTCCTGTCCTTGCCAAATCTCTGCAACCAGCCCTAAGTGAGCTCTCCCAAAATCCCAGTCACAACAGCTGGGAACAGAGGCCTCTAACAGTAAGGATACACTTAAGTGTTATTTTAGTATTTTTTTTTATATAGTCTTATATTTTTTTTTATGAATATTACAATTAGCTTTTATTTTCTTTTTTAATTTTAGATTTTATGTTTTAGGAGGTTTTTTTTTGGTAATGTGCTTTTGTCATTTATTTCATTTAACATGTCTGTATAGCTTTCATTTCAGTTTTAGTTTTAGTAATTTTAGTACTTAACTTACCTTACGTACTAACTACCTGAAGTACGTTTAAGTTCAAATTCTAATATTTATATTTTATTTCAGGTTTTTTTTAATATCAACAATTATTTTTAATTTTTCAGAGTAAAGCTCAAAAAAAGAGGACCTGCACCAAACCTGTTCCTTTCAATTTGTCCCAGTCACGCACACACAGTCAGAGAAACACAGGTGATCCCCAGGGAAAAGCACCCCTGATGCCTTCTACTCGACTAACACCAGGGGCAAAAGTGATTAACTTGAATCCAAGTGCCAAAACTAAAACTCCAAACCATAAAGCTACGACACCAGGTGTCCTCAGGGCTCAGGCCAACAAATCACAGCGACTGCAGCCTGGTAGTCATGTAGAATACATGGCATCAAATAAAGATTCCACTGATGTTCACCCACCTTCACATGAATCCGGATGCTGTAGTCACACCGATTTAAGTTCACGTTTAGGTAGCATCACTCTTAAACAATCTAAGCTTCCCGAAGACTCGGGTTTGAGTCATTTATGTAAAACGTCACTCATTAAAGTAGATGTTAATTCTGATAATCAAGCACCAAAGGACAAGCACTGTTTCCCATCAACAACACAAAGGCATGTAATCACTGAAGGTGAGTGACATAATGTCAGATCTTTTCTTATTGTGTCAATCAAGTCCGTGTTCAAGTTCGATCTCAACTGTATTAATAGTTCTTTGTTTAATTTAGCCACTGGTTGATTATAATTGATGTATGTAACTATGAGTGCAGGATCATAATCAAATCTTTCATCAGCTGTGCACAGTGTCCTCACATGTGAGGGATCAAGTGCTGTTGGAGCACAATGCCTGATGCCATGTTTATCTACCTGCCCCCCTGGACCAGGAACCTCCAATAATCTGGTTAGGAATTGTAGAAAATCTCCGTAATAAAACCAAAGTGTTTACTGACCCTTTATGATGATCATGACCGTTGTCTTTTTAGTCTAGTATGTGCTCTGGTGCTCATATATTTTGATCTTTTAGCCTCAAAGAGTTATGAAGAAGAGTCATGGCATTGATGTCACCACAGGTTAGTTCATTTTCAAAGACTCCAATTTTTCTCATTGATCACAGAGTGTAAGCTTTATAGTTCTCCTTTCATCTCAAGACAAGGCTGGGCTGTTTTCCCCTGACCCTTCAGCACTACGTAGTATTCTACAGAGTGATGGATCGAGACTGGGGGAGCATGTTGGAGCAACACCCAGAGCATCAGCCTGTCCTACTGGCAGAGGAACCTCTGTTTATTCTGTGAGTGCATTCCTTTGTTCAATGTCCATTCACACATTGATTATGATATTTTACTTCTGAATGGTCAATTTAGGCAGAAAAAGATGTGAAATAGAAGAACTGATTTTTAATAGTGACCTTGTCCACTTTAGGCTCAAAGAGTACCTGCCAAAAAGACTCAAAAAGAAGCTCCAGCAGAGGCCAAAAGCCCTACAGGTATTTAAAGCTGATTTTTCAGTAGCCATTACTCCAGTCTTCATGATTCTTCAAAAATCATTCTAATATGCTGGTTTGGTGCTTAAGAAACATTTATTATCACTAGTAAATGGTTGTGCTGCTTAATATATTTTTTTCTGGATTTTTTGATGAATAGAAAGTCCCTAAAGTGTTTGAATAAACATAATAGAGAGATTAAGACTTAACAAATCGTGTTCATTCATTTGTGTATGGTTTGTGCCTGCAGGAAGTGCCTTCTCTCCTGATCCATCAGCGCTCCGTGGTATTCTACAGATCAATGGAGCAACACCTCATGCACCGACCGGCCTTACTGGCAGAGCTACTTCTGTTTACTCAGTAATGCTCAGTTCACATTTGTTGTCTTAAAATTTGAATTTGGAATGCTAAAAAATAAGGTTTGAAATACCTTGTTCACTTTAGGCTCAAAGAGTGCCAGTTAGGAAGCCTAAAACGGATGAATTAGCAGCTGTCAAAGCTCCCGCAGGTAATCTAGCCCATTAATTTTGCAGTAAATGAAGTGTATACACTTCTGTTCAAAAATGAATACTTTTATTCAGCATGGATACATTAAATGCATCAAAAGTGACAGTAATGACATTTAAAATATTTTAAATGAATGCTGTTCTTTTGAACTTTCTATTTAAGAATCCTGATGAAATGTACAATGGTTACCACAAAAATATTAAGCAGTGTTTTCAACACTAATAATTAAATGTTTCTTGAGCCACAAATCAACATATTAGAATGATTTCTGAAGGATTATGTGATACTAAATCCTTGAGTAATTGCTGCTGAAAATTCAGCTTTACAATCACAGGAATAAGTTACATTTAAAATAGAAAATAGTTATTTTAAATTGTAATATTTCACAATAATACTACTTTTACAGCATTTTGATCAAATACTGTAAATGCAGCTATGTTGGGCATAAGAGATGTTACAGCACCACATACAGACTAGGTGTTATTATTCAGTGTTTTTTCTCCATAAAATTTGTATGAATGTCATGTGATCCAAAAAAATCTTCCTTTAGGAAGTGCTGTGTCCTTCTCCCCTGACCCGGCGGCCCTGCGCAGTATTCTACTGAATGAAGGTGTGAGGGCTGGTGGAGCAACACCCAGAGCTTCCACCTGTCCCACTGGCAGAGGAACCTCCATTTATTCTGTGAGTTTGCTCGGATGGATTCAACTTCCAGTTGTGTGCTATAATGAAGGTGTTTTGCATCATGTAACTTTCTTTACTTCAGGCCCAGAGAGTCCCAGTGAAGAAGAATAAGCCTGAAGCCGTGGCAGCAGCAACATCATCTCAGTGTAAGTTTGACTCTCCAATGTTTCTTCCCCTTCAACATCATGTTTTCGACCCTTTAAACCAATGATTCTCTGCTGTGGTGCAGGCGCAGTTAGAACACCAGTGATGAAGTGGACACCGCAGCGGGTCGCAAAATCCAAACCACAGTCAATGGTGAGTATTCTCCTGTCTTGTCTCATTGTTTTGTACAGTATCCATTGCCATAAATTAAAGGGTTTTTTTTTAAACCCAAATTTCACAAGTCAAGGCTATAGAAAGTCTTCAGTATCTTCAGTTTTTTTCTTTGTGTGTGTGTGTGTGAGATCTGTTGCAAAACGACTTGTGTCTCAGGTTTATGTTTACTGTTTATATTTACAGAGGAAGCTTTGTACTACCCAAAAGATGTCCAGTTTAAGGGGCTCCCCAGGTTTGCGTGAATCTCACGACCCAAGCACTGGACTCTTGGTGTGCCAGAAGGTAAAACAGCCCCATAATGCAGAACCCTTGTATTTTCTTACTTTATCTACACGATAAAATGTCAGGTTAACACTAGGTGTTGAATGTGTTATAGGGGAAGGATGTCGTTCAAAGGTTATTTGAGGACCAAGAGCAGATGGACAATGACCAGATAGGCCAAGATGACCTACAGTTACTGAACAGCCACCAAACTGTACGATTGATTTAACTCTAAAACATTAATTTATGCATCACTGGTCAGTTTCTTGATGGCCTAAAAGTAATCTCACATGACTTCTCTCCATGCAGACTGAAGCACAGTCAACAATTCAAGAAAATTCTGATTCAAATCATTGTCACACCGAGAACGAAGGCAAGAAAACAGTCCAGCCTTTCATACAAGCAGCACACAGAGGGTCAGTCATTGTTTTCTCATCAAGCCAAAGACTTGGATCAGACCGGTCTCTGAAGAATCCTGGGATAAGTGCTCCTCTGCAGCTCTGTTTAGGCCAGTTTACATCCCATAATGCACTACCACAGCAACCAGACCAAAGTAAAGAATCACAGATCAATCCCAGCTTAGACCTGCCTAAACAAAGCCAATCTAAAGGTAACCATTCCATCCAAAGTGAACCTAAATTGAACCTTTTTTTCTGTTTTCTATTTTTAAATGACCATATCGGTCTAATGCTGTAATTAATGATCCTTAAGCAGACATTTTGCACATCCTGAAGACTTTTAAGCATTTGCAGTAGTGCTTACTGCATTAAATGCATTTCCACATCTGTCTGTAGCTCCTGCTGTCAAGCAGTCTACCGCTATGTCTGCTCTGCGGCGGCGTCATACTCCTCTGGAGGAGATGTTTCTGGACGAGGAATGTGCTGCGTACACCTCTCGCCTGCTGTCCTGCCCACTGCAGCCCCGCTGTGGCAACCCGGTGGCCGCCACACTTTTGTTTCAAGATTCTACTGTGAGTGATCATTGTGTTTTGAATTGTGCATTGCACACTAAACCGGTTGTCAAGTTGAATGGCTGTTGATACATCTTATCTCTCTCCTCTACAGTGTTTTTTACCCATTGGCCTGTCTTCTATACGTCTGAGTCCTGTCCCTTCAGGTTCTTTTATCAGAGCATAAAGGCAGATGTCCCACAACACATTGCACATGTCAGTCTGTGTATGTAAGACTGTCTGAAACCGTATTTCTAGTTGCACTTTTGATATGAAATGTCAGTTAGATTCCACAAGCAGCAAAGTATTGGACGGGCACAATATTTGGTGAGATTCACTGTTGACAACATGACTGAATGCAAAATTATCTCTAAATATTGAACACTTTCAACATTTTTACACTGAATTGTCACTGACTGAAAACACTGTGAGCTTTCCACTTGTCTCTTGTATAAAGTGTATAATAAATCTCTATATAAACAGTTTTACATGAAGCTTTGTCTTTATAAATGTCAGGGTTTTTTTTTCCTGAATTGTACTATTACAATATTGTAGATGTCCTTTCTGAAATCGTTTAATATTATTTGGTGCTCAAGCTTTAAAACACTAAAATATTTGACAAATTTAATTTAAAATTCATTAAGAATATTCTTATTTTGAAGAGTAAAAGATCTGATTTTATGAATATCTGAATTATTATATAAAAGTATATTAGAACAAATTATTATATTTTGTAATTATATATACTGTAAATGATAAATATATTGGTTTTCAATCAATAAGCTAAATAAAGTTAAATAAATATTACAAATTAATACTAAAATAGAACATGACATTAAGACGTGTGTAACATTGAGTCATGGTAAACTTGATCTTTTTTTCCTTTTTATTAAGCATGTAACCTTTGCTGTGCAATTCAAGTTGATACTTTATATTTAGCTGAGTCGGGGTGTGTGACTGTGGTGTCTGTGTTTGTGAAATGAAATCCAGGGGGTGGGCACGAATTGCTGGAACTCCGTCCTATTAAACCCTTCCCTCTGGAGCCCCTCGCTTTGAGAGACGGTGCAAACGCATCTTTCATTTGCCTCCTTTTCCAATTTCCTCTGCCACCAATTTCTGGAATACCTGAATCATGGCTAACATAAACACAGCTGGGGTCGATCCGACAAAGATGGGGGTCGGACGGGCCATTGCTGTACTGACGTCAGGTGGTGATGCCCAAGGTAAGCAGAAAGTAGTGATCTGCCTCTTAGACTTTGTGCTAGTTCCTATGGTGGTCTCCAAAAGGGTGTTCAAAGAAATGCCTGCATGGATAATTAGATTTAAGTGAATTTGGTGCAATTTTTGGAATATCCTTGTATACACAATAAGAGCTTATCCCCCTCTGATACAGTATTCATATTGTTATAGACACTGTTTTTATGTTCTATGTCAGATGACTCTGATGTTCTCTATGGTTTAAAACTATCATGAATAAACATGAGCTAAACTTTAACTTTTGAAAATTTCTATCTATCCTGTTAAATTTAAAATTAAAGAAGTTAAAATGTAAGAAACTTAAGCAGAAAATAGAACTAATTGTACTGATAAAAAGAAATCTAGCATTTTGGTTTGCTCTGGTCCGTTAAGGTCAATGCTCTTGTAGCCTTTAGCTTTAGCCTGTAGCTCTTGTCTCGTCTTTCCATAATTGAAGGCTAAATTTATCTCCAGTGACCTTCTTCAGAAATGACATGAGGTTATGGAGTGTAGCAGGCTTTTCCACAGCTGCTCACTGTTGAAACTAGAGACACTGAACTGCGTTTGTACACAACACCTACAGCTTTAGTGATGAGCTCACAGAATTAAGTTATCTCAGACACTCTTGTTCACATCATTCCACAATGCGGTCAAGTAATGAAATGTCATGAGGAGTATCTCTCTGTACTTTCCTAGAAGCCCTGTGTATCCTGTATATGATATGTTTTCTTGTCTATTGCAGGGATGAATGCAGCTGTGAGGGCCACTGTCAGAGTCGGCCTTTACACTGGAGCCAAAGTCTTCTTTGTCCATGAGGTACGTTATTATAAGAATACTAACGAAAATGTCCATGCCAATCACATCTGTTAACATTGTTGCTGATGTCATGTGCAGGGATATCAGGGATTGGTTGATGGAGGGGATCACATCCGTCCTGCTACATGGGAGAGTGTGTCCATGATGCTACAGCTGGTGCGCCTTCAGCTGCTGGAATTTATTCAATTCAGTTTATTATTAACTTCACTTTTTAAGTAGTGTTGTGATTGTCTGTTTTCTTTGTGTCTGTCTGAAGGGTGGCACAGTCATTGGCAGTGCCCGCTGTAAGGATTTCCAGACCAGGGAGGGGCGTTTGAAGGCTGCCTTCAATCTCGTCAAACTAGGTGTCACCAACCTTTGTGTAATTGGTGGCGATGGCAGTTTGACCGGTGCCAACATATTTCGCACTGAGTGGAGTGACTTGCTGAAAGATCTAATCAGCAAAGGTAAACGATCTGTATTGAAGGTACAGATCATTTCAACATGTTTTTTTTATATATATAATTTTTACTGTTTTAATAGATTTTACATGTAATTTATTCCTGTGATGGCAAAGCTGCATTTTCAGCATCATTACTCCAGTCTTCAGTGTCACATGATCCTTCAGAAATCATTCTAATATGCTGATTTGCTGCTCAAGAAACATTTCTATCATCTTGTTTCTCAAGATACGTTGTTATTTTGATTCTCTGATGAATTGAAAGAGAAAGAACATTACAAGAAAATTATCTTTCATAACATTATACATGTCTTTACAGTCATTTTTGATCTATTTAATGTACCTTTACTGAATAAAAATTAATTTCTTTAAAAATAAATAAACAAATCTTTCTGTATCCCAAATGGTATATACTGAACTGACAGCCATATTCTCCATTTGTACGCAGGTAAGATCACAAAGGAGGAGGCCAAGACTTCATCTCATCTGAATATTGTCGGTATGGTTGGTTCTATCGACAATGACTTCTGTGGAACGGACATGACCATTGGCACAGACTCTGCCCTACATCGTATCATTGAGGTGGTGGACAGTATCACCACAACAGCACAAAGGTCACAAATATTTGCAGTTTATCAAATTAGCTAAGATCCTCAGTGTTCTGTTATTTTGCTTTGGCATTTGTTCCTACATTGTGACCTCTGCTCTCACCCACAGTCATCAACGTGCTTTTATCCTAGAGGTCATGGGAAGACACTGTGGGTAAGAATGTGATTGTGTATGTATGCTTATACACTGAAGTGAGCATATGTGTGCAACAGAACTGAAATTGAGACCAGACCCCCTAATACCTAGATCATATGGTTCACATACCGGAATCTCACATTTAATTAACTGAAATGATCTTGCATTTGTTGAGCACAATATGTGTGTGTGTGTGTTTCAGTTACCTGGCTCTGGTTACTGCTCTTGCGTGTGGTGCTGACTGGGTGTTTATTCCTGAGATGCCTCCAGATGATGGATGGGAGGATCATTTGTGTAGAAGACTCACTGAGGTACTAAGAAATTGACAAAATGCAAGAAATGTACACAGAAAAAAAATTATATAGTTGTCACATAGTTTTACATCCTTGAAATACACTACCGTTCAAACGTTTGGGGTTTGGTTAGAATTTTTTTTATAATGTTTTTGAAAGAATTCTCTTATTCTCACCCAGGCTTATTATTACAAATATTATTACAGTTTAAAATCTAATTTTCTATTTCTATTTTAATATATATTAAAATGTTTGTGTGTGTGTGTGATGACAGAAGCTGAATTTTCAGCAGTCATTACTCCAATCTTCAGTGTCACATGATCCTTCAGAAATCATTCTAATGCTGATTTGCTGTCCGAGAAACATATCAAAAAAATATTTTTTGCTGCTTAATATTTTTGTGGAAACTGTGATATATTTTTTTCAGGATTCTTGGATGAATAGAAAGCAAAAAACAGCATTTATCTGATATATAGTTTTTCTGTAATAATGTAAATGTCTTTATTGTCACATTTGATCAATTTAATGCATCCTTGCTAAATAAAATGATTAATTTCTTCTTCTTCTAAAAAATTAAATCTTACTGACCCTAAACCTTTGAAAAGCAGTGTAAATTTACTGGAAAAGCAAAACTGTAAATTAATAAAAACTTGTCAGAAGACATATTTTAGTACTTTTTTTCATGTATTTTTCTTGTTGGTTTGGAAAAGTCCAAAAATAGATAAATTAAGAGAAAAAGTTATAAAAAAATGCAGTAAAGAAAAAAGAGAATTATTTACAATAAATTAGTTTAGTTACATTTTTCTTTAAACTATAGGAAAATAGCTGGTTGTTTGAACCATAACTCTAACAAAAATTGGTAAGGTTTGTGCATTAATCAAGAAAAATTTCAATATTTTGACTGAAAAACAAAACAAAACATTCATAATGATTGATAATTTTGTCTCTCCTCAAACAGACCAGAAAGGCAGGTTCTCGTTTGAATGTGATAATTGTGGCCGAAGGAGCAATCAACAAAGAAGGGAAACCAATCACCTGTGACCAGCTAAAAGATGTAACTTAACCCCTGACCATACTATACAACCCATGCTCTTGAAACAGATGCTCTAATATAGTTTTGTAAACGTTCGCCTATAAGTGCACTTTAATTATGCTTATCTGTTCACCTACAGCTGGTGACAAAGAGGCTGGGCTATGATACTCGTGCCACTACCCTCGGACATGTGCAGAGAGGTGGCACCCCCTCAGCTTTTGACAGAGTGCTAGTGAGTAGTCCCTCTTCTCATTTTGTCACTTTTCGATCATCTGCGCCATTTTTATTTCATGAGAGTTTAAATGTGGGTGTTTATTGTATGTCAGGGTAGTAGGATGGGTGTGGAGGCTGTAATGGCTCTGCTGGAAGCCACTCCAGAAACTCCTGCCTGTGTGGTCAGTCTCTCTGGGAACCAGGCCGTCAGACTCCCCCTGATGGAGTGTGTGCAAGTGGTGTGTATAAAGTACATACATTTTAGATGTGACCTAATTTAAAGGGGGTCATATGATGCTGCTAAAAAGAACATTATTTTGTGTATTTGGTGTAATGAAATGTGTTTATGCGGTTTAAGGTTCAAAAAACACATTATTTTCCACATACTGTACATTATTGTTTCTCCTCTATGCC